GTATACCCTGATCGGATGCACACAACAGAGCCACAAGCTGGGAATTGGGGACGGGGCAGGGAGGGGAGGAGTGCTACCCAGTGGGCATAACTTTCTACAAGCATCAGAATTGGGAAGAACCACCCAAAATGCCACTTGTTTTTGACACTTCTAGCTAAAGGGAAGTGAAAGAGGACCACAGCCCTGCTTGAGACCAGGCATTAGAGCCGTCACTGAGGGAGGGGCGAGACTGTCAATAGAACAAATCAAAGAGGACTACTTTGCTTGAGCAAGAATTATCTGGAGACCAAAGGGACACCTAGCCAAAGCACTGAAGGTTTTGTTAATAGAAATAGCAAGGAAAGGAACACTAGCCCCAAGTGTCTGCATCTGTCAGGCTTCTCCTCCTGCAGCATGACATGGACAGAACACATTTCACCTTGTTGTTTGGAGCCCTGTGAGCCGAGGGTAGACAGCGCGCTGCGGTGACGCCCGTTCCTGCCTGTCCCTGCCTGGGGTCAGCCAGCCATGAGACTGCGTCACGGGAGTGCCAAGGGCCACTGACTCATGTGACAGGACATGACGAGAGGCAGCTGACCAAGACACGGCTGCCCCAGACTTCACAAACCACACTCAACCCTGAGGAGGAGCAGAGCTGGACTCCGAAGTGCCAACCTCCCTGTGACTTTCAAGCGAGTTATCTTTGCTCTCTGCTCTGGAGGGTCAGAGCATCTATGCGGGAACAGAGGAGTTGGATGAACCCACAGGGAACTTAGTGTCTGAATGAGTAGATGTAGAAAGTAGACAACGAGCCCAGCATGGACAAGGACCAACCACTCCTGGTTTCTAAATGAAGTTAGACTACAGTGTGGATGCCGTGTGTGGGCTAGAGACTCCACTGCACTCCAGCCTGGTGATCCATGGTGACAGTTTCACATAGAACTTCCACGATCCCCACGCAGGAAGGCAGCGAAGCGGGTGAAAGGAAAATGTCCAGTACTGGATGCAAAGTGTACATGGCTGGCTGTCAGCTCTGCCAGCGTCAGAAAGTGTGTACAGCATAGCATGGCCGTTATGTGTTATCCTTTCTCATTCTATCCTTGTGGGGTCTGCTCATTTCACACAGAGGCCTTTTACCTTCTTGAAGAACTCCCCCTGCTACCCACCTTCACAGACAGGGGTGTGTCTGTCTGTCTGTCTGTCTGTCTGTCTGTCTGTCTGTCCCCTAGGTGGGGAACAAGGTCTCAGCCCTTGGGGAAATCACTGTCTACCAAGGAAACCAGACAGTAGGTGAGGTGCCAAACCAGAACCCACTCTCTGCTCTCCATAGTTCAGGTCCTTCAAGGTCTGCAGCTGATAAACACCAGGCCGAGCAGCCATGAAGACTCATCACACATCCCTCTTCTCCCAGAGATTCAGCTAAAGGGCTTGGTGGCTGACCCACAGAGCCTCAAGCGCAGCCCGCTGCCCACTCACAGCAGTGGACAATCTTCAGCAGACTTGTGAGGCGTGGCCTGGCACATGCACTGGTCCTCACGGGGCAGGAATGACCTCAGGAAAAGCTCACGCAGAAGTGGTGTTGTGCTCAAACCAGACATCACCGGAATGCAAACAGCACAGCCACTCCAGGCAGGAAGGGCCCTGGGACCTTTTTCGTCCTGCATCGGCATCTTCTGGAGCTCTACCAAATTCATCATGAGTGGAAGTAAACTCCAGTGGAGCTGGGCTCTTTCAGCACTGGGTTCCAAATCATGACTTACCAACCCCCCAAAAGTGCTGTAGAGAAGCCGCCCTGAACGTGACAAAGGGGAGACAAGGGACAGCGTTTCCCAAGCTGTTGAAAGTCGTTGATTGCAGCCTAGTAGTTTGGAGCCTCTGAAACACATCCACAGAGTCCACAGATAACAGGTGAAAAGAAGGAACCACCCAACTTCTAATCAGCCTAGAGATAGAGCCCGGAGGGGAAATAACCACAGCTGCCATTGTGGGCGCTTACTGCAACCAAGTTGGATTCATAAAACCTCTGCCAGGGTATTTCTCTCAGTTCTCACAACATGTGTCCAGCACAGGTGTCTACTTGGACTGTGTCCAGCACAGGTCTCCACTTGGACTGACGGTGGCCAGGAAGAGTTTCTAGAAATACTCAATGTGCAAGACTCCCAGGGAGAGGGGAAAGTGAACCTTGAGAACTGAACTTGGGATTTGGTGTCTGGCAGAGTGTAAACAGGATTAACATCAGGTGACTTGTGGAGGTCAGAAAAATTGCTATGGTCTAGGGCACCAAACCTGGTAGACACAGGATGTCACCAGGCCTTCATAACACAGAGAACTGTGGAATGGATAAGAAGAAAAAGAGGCAGTTGAAGTGGATTTGAAACTGGTCCAAAATGCTGAACCACTCTCTCGAGAGCTCAGGGATCTGTCTTTGATCTGGCCTGTTTAACATTGTCATCAATAATAACTCAATAACATAGTTTGCTAAGCAAATTTGAGGAAGATTCTAGCTTGAAGGACATTATCATAGGAGACAACAAAGTTAAAATGGACAGTGATACATTTTGATTGGCTAAAGAACATAGAAGTGCATGATCTTGTACATAGAGAAGCACAAGATTGGATTTGAGGTGGCTGGCCAGAAGGTTTTTAGTAGGCCCATACCAGTATGATGCGACTCCCTGCACAAGAGCACACACACATCCACCTTGACCAGTCCACACTTACAGAGTTTTGTTCTGGGGGCCATGTGTGGAGATGTTGCAGAAATAAGATGGAAAAGAAGGGACTGGGTTGGAAGGTTCTGTAACCTGCAACAATGCTTAGAAAGCTCACGGTCCAGAGGTGGAGGGAAACAATCCACCCTACCCACAGCTTCAGTGAGCCCAGCACAGAGGTCAGCAGTGTCCCCAGGACTTGTGATCGGGGGTCCTACTGACCTCGTAGACATGGTAAGGACGGTGCCCAGAAATGCGGTGAGTGAAGAGGAATCCACAGGCAGTGACAAGGGAAGAGCCCAGACTGAAGCAAAACACAACAAAGGGAGCAGGAGCTGGTAAGGATTGAGGGGAACTAGAAACTGGGTGTGGATAGAGAGAATCACTGGGTTTGAGGGAGAAAGCAGTTGCCGATCCATCTTGCACATACCCTCTGCTACTTCCAAGGGGTAAAATTAGGACTTGGGAGTTCCCTGTGGCAGGTTCTGCTCCATGAAAAGAGGAACTCTGCATCTGGATGCACAGAGCAGCCGTACTTCCTGCAGAACGTGGGCAGCCAGCACAGGGCCTGGAAAATGCAGAGCTTTCCCCAAGTGGGGAGCAAAGGAGATTCCCTGGTTCTCCCCATGCCAATTGTTGAACCTGGGGAGCTGAGCTACAGTTGCCTGTGAACACGACCTCTCCGTGCCTGGGCTGCCCTATGGCCCCTGTGGGCCGGCCCGGCCCGGCCCAGCCTGTCCCGTCTCGCTCACTCCTGTGGCTCTGTCAGTCAGCAGCCCCAGCCTGTGCCAGTCATGGAGCTGGAATGGAATACTTTTTAGAGAAACACTGCATTTCAAATCCTTGTTACCTCCTAAGTGTTCATGACCCCTTCGGTAGGACTCAGCTGCTGCCAGGTGTCCCCTGTGTGTCCCTGTCGCCTCCTAGCTCTTGCCCCAGGGCTCTTTTAGGGGGGAGGAAGGGAGAAATTCTGGGCCTAAAGGTCATTTAAGGACCCTGCCCTGACCCTCTTCTTGCTGAGCCCTCCTATCACATAGGCCATACCCATGGCTGGCCCCACCTTCAGCCGCCCCCATGCCTCACCCCTCTTCACACTCATGAGGAGTCCCCTGAGCAGGCACAGAAGAGCAGAGCTGTCCGCACACATGTAGCACCACGCGCAGGGCTTTCAACCAGAAAACTGTAAATGGCGACTGAGCTCACAAAGTCTCATAGCATACATCACCAGAAATCTCCACTGCTGTAACATATGCTTCTACCATAGGGTATGCCATTGTAATTGTGTTCTATTCGTGTAGATTTTCTATAATTTATATAATGTCTAGTGTTGAGGGCTGAACTGAAGGCCTCATGATTGCTAGGTAGGCACTCTACCCCTTGAGCCACACTTAAAACCCTTTTTGCTGTCTTTATTTTGGGGATAGGGTCTCATATTTATGCTAGGCTAACCTGATCTACATTCACCCTATTTATGGCTTCCCCCCTAACTGAGATGGCAGGTGTATACTACCATGCCCAGCTTCTTATTGTTGAGATGAAGTCTCCTTTTTTGTCCATGCTGACCTCATATTGCCAGGTAGCTAGGATTACAAGTATGAGGCACTGCGTGAAGCCTGTATAATCTATTCATTAGGATAATAGGTTATGAGCAAAGTTTAGTAATACTGGCAGTTTTCATCATGCATACACAAATACAGGAAGCTTCTATATTCACAAAATCAACCCTGCCCCTGCTGGCTTTCAGCCACCTCCGTCCCATCCCCCAGTTGCTGAACCGGCTCAGGCTTCTAGAAGCACGGCTGCTGCCGCCCACAGGAGTCCCAGGCTGCAAGCAGGACTCTGCACCCACTGCAAGTGCAGAAGAGGCCAGGGACTGGGAGTGAGTAGTGGTCATCAGAGTGGCAGCATAAGATGTGGCGACTGCAGGCATATGGCCACTCCGCACCCTGCGCTTTCCTCAAGGATCACACCTGGCTTGAGTCGGGTGGCCAGAGCTGAGCAGAGGCCGTTTGCGCTGAGGTGTTCCCAAAGCATGGTCCCATGCATCACTTGGCCCGCAGAAGCCCATTTTAGCTATACAGTGAAGATTACACAGGCAATGCATATTAATTGGCTGCAGATAATAAGAACTGAAAAGATGGCTTTAATGATTTCTTTAACATTAGGTTGTGCCATGGAATGCAAATGAGTTGGTTTGGGTTTGGTTCCTTTCACAGGTAGACCTTTCCCATTAAATGTACATAGATAAACGTGGGAGGAGCCTATGCTGTGATGTGGTTGGGCCTCAGGTTTCTGCTCCTTTGTCCATAGGTTGCCCGGCTCATGGAGATGGGATTTTCCAGAGGAGATGCCTTGGAAGCCCTGCGAGCCTCGAATAATGACCTCAATGTGGCCACCAACTTCCTGCTACAGCACTAATAGGCAGCCCACCTGAGTGACAGTGGCAAATGCGCCACCACCACGTCAGCCCAAGGACCAGGCCAGCTCTGCCACTGATGCTCTCGTGGGAGAGGGTGGACCCCCATGGCTCGAGATGGTTGCCGTTGTGGTGTCAACATAAGTTTACCATTAAATTAGCATGTATTTTCTATTTTTTTATTGGGCATTTTCCTTAGTCTGGAAATCATCACTCATTCCTATTGTGTCCAAATGCGGGCAAGCAGGTGCACAGCCTGCCAGAGGAGAACTGGCTACCGCCCTAATGTTTTTACTGCAGCGTGCTATCCAAACACCCCACACAGACACGCACGCACACACACACACACACACACACACACACACACACAATCACTGTCATGGTGGAGGGACAGAAGGCAGTGTGACTTCAGAATAGACACATCAGCTGGGCGCTGGTGGCTCACGCCTATAATCCTAGCTACTCAGGAGGCTGAGATCTGAGGATCACCGTTCAAAGCCAGCCCAGGCAGGAAAGTCCGTGAGACTCTTATCTCCAATAAACCACTAGAAAACCAGAAGTGTGGCTGTGGCTCAAGCAGTAGAGCGCTCGCCTAGAGCTGTAGAGTGCAGGGACAGCACCCAAGCCCAAAGTTCAAGCCCCATGACCGACAAGAAAAGAAAAGACACATCACATTGTGAACTTTCAATCATATTTTTTTCTCAAGCTTGTGTTCACATCCCATTGGCTACTGCTCCACACTTCTCAGGGGCCGAGCGCCAGTCACCATGCTCATGGATAAGTGAGAAACGGGAGCTCAGCCCAGCGCCACACAAGTCCAGCTCACTCCAATGCCTCTCCATTTCCCTTAAATATACTAATAATCAAGCATTGACTTGAGGTTCTGGAATGTTCTATGATGTTTCTTGGGAGTGATTCTGCTCAGATTATCCAGAGTTAGCCACTTGTGCTAGGGTGAGGTAGACAGAACAATGAGAAGAGTTGCTTCCTGGAGCCTTGTAAGGCCTGACCAGAGAACACAGCCTCCCACCCCCACAGGCTCAGCCCCGTCCCCCGGCAGGACTAACCTTCAAGCCCACCATGCTGCCAGTCCCTCCCTCCACACACATGTTCTCCCTGGCGCTAGACCCCACTATGAGGCAGTGTGCGCTGCAGAAATGGGGAGGGGGGCAGCAGGAGAGGGTCACTGTGAGTGAGAACAGCACTAAAGCAAGCTGAGCGATAAACTAATTGTGCAACATGTTTGTTGGGCAGAATGAGCGGTAATGTATCAAATTGATGCAAATTTTGTGTGGTACAATAAAATTTCTAATGTTTTACTTTTCAGTATTTTTTATTAGACATCTTTATATAAAGTTCCATTCTAAGCAGTTCCACCAAAAATAAGAAAAAAGCCAGACTGCTGTGTGTCTGCAGAAGGCTCAGCACAGCCTCTGTGCTCTGTGGGCAGCACTGCCGGTCCACGGCACCACCAGGCCAACACCTGGGGCCCTTAGGCCTCGTGAGACTCAGCTTGGGCCCCCCAGGCCATCATGCTGCTCAGAATGGAGCTGAGGCGGCTTTCTGCAAACCCAGCCGGTAGTGAGCAGTGCCCTACTAGGATCTCAGTGGATGGGCAGGAAGGCCGTCACCTTCGTTCCCTGCCCAAGGCAAATTGGGCTCATGAGGCTGTACCAATGAAGATACGAATATACAACCTGAGACATGCTGCAACCCACCTTCTGCCCATCCCCTGACAAAGGGCAGGGGCATCCACAAGCCCACCATCTTCTGGGTTCCTTCTTAGCCTCCCATAGCACCAAACAAAGCAAAACCCAGCTGAAAGTAGCACCACGCCCTCCCAGAAAGAAAGGCAAATGGTCCGATGTAATGATGACAAATTAGAAATTAAATCCAAAAAGATGGTGGCCTTACACCTATACATGTCTGCACCGCAGAGATCATGCCCTACCCAAAAGCCCCTGGGTGTTCCTTTCAGTCCTTCAGTGTGAGACTGGGGATGGAATAGTGACACAGCCAGGGATCATGATTTAGGGTTTCCTCAGAGCCCTTTCAGCCAATTCCTAACTCCAAACCTTACTCTCCAGGGCTTTCCTGTACCTTTCCATCTCCAGTGTGCCAGGCCAGTCTCTCCCTCCAAGGCCACCCTCTGATCCTCTCATGCATCCCAGCCCATCCTCTGTGTGTGTGTGTGTGTGTGTGTGTGTGTGTGTGTGTGTGTGTGTGTGTGTGTGTGTGTGTGTGTGTGTGTCCATGCCAGTCCTGGGGCTTGAACTTGGCCTGTGTGCTCTCTGAGTTTTTACTCAAAGCTTATGCTCTACCACTTGAGTTACAGCTCTGCTTTCTGACTTTTTCTGAGTTGTTTATTGGAGATAGAAGTTTCAGGGACTTTCTGGCCTGGGCTGGCTTCAAACCACGGTCCTCAGATCTCAGCCTCCTCAGTAGCTAGGATGACAGGCGTGAGCCGCCAGAGCTTTTTCACTTTAGGCGCCATTGCTGGCCCGCTCTTGCTTCCTGCTCAGATTGACACAATCTGCAGCCACCCACCTAAGGACTTTGAATACCTGAAAACACTCGCACCTCATCAAGGACTCCGAAATCTTTCCAGCCTATCTATGGCAGTCCCTAGAGGAAGAGAGCCAGTGGGGCATGCCAGATGAGGGCATCAGTGAGCTATTTGATTCAGTTTCCTAAGATCTAGAAAAGCCCTACACTCTTGACTTTGTGCAGAAGAAGATTCCGAATTCTGAAATGAGGAAGGGGAAGTTATTATAGACACACACCCACTACATAGTTAGGGAAAGCCTGCCTCTAATGTCCCAATTTATACACCTAGATGGAGTAGGGAACTAGCAAGGTAACGCCAGTGAACTCAGCCCAGTATTGTTTAGGATGTTTTCTGGGTCCCTGAGTTTATGACTGTACTTGCCTTCCCTGTCTCTCCAGTTTCAGTCTTTAACACAATACGGCTCCCAGGCCCACCACATTCCATGTTCCCAGAGGGTAATGGAAATTCTTTTTCGTAGAGGGATGCCAGCCACAGACTAGGTGATTGGGGACAGGCCACTGACACAGAACTACAAAACGGAAGATGGAGTACGACTATTGCACAGCAAAACCCAGAATGTTATTGGAAAACCAGGGCTCATCTCCCTGGCCTATACTCAGAAGTTACGGGATGTCAGAGGTCATGTTGACTAATGTACCCATTGTGCAGATGAACCCAGCTTCCAGAGCCACCAGTGACTTACCAAGGCTACCTTGATTCCATGCCTCCTCCTGATGCCCCCATCCAGAGAGGCCCCTGTAGTTCCCAAGTCTGGTGGAAGATGAGAGGCTCTTCACATGGGAACTTAGCCCTCAGCCTCTTGCCTCACCCCCCAGTTCCCCATTTGATGCTCTCTGCCCAGGAGGTGCACATCTGTGTCTGTGAAAGGACTGTGGTTAGCAGTGATGTCAGTCATGTCCCCCCACACACAGCTGAACTGTCCGGGAACAGAGAAGATGAGAAAAAGGATCAAACAAGATAAGGCTAACAGACTTCTGCAGAAGTGCTTAGCGGAGTAAAGCTGATGGATGAGAAAAATAATCTCAAGGTCATAGGACAAGGCTCTATGACAAATTGAGATCACAAAGTTAACCTAGAAGAAAAGCATAGCCAAGCAGTACCGTGTATGTGGTTCTACAGGTACGGAGCACACAGGGGCACTTCCTACAGCACCAAGACCAGTTCGTGTGACATCTGAAACACCTGAAAGCCCCAGAGACACATCTACAGCTCATTTCCAGTACACGCACCACCCTCACCTCACACAGCCATAGTGTCAGCTCCTGGAGTACCTAAGAAACAGAACTACGTCAATCAACTCAAATTGGTGCATTAAAGTGTCGCAGATCGGGAGACCTGAGCCACAGAAATGCATTTCTTCTCGATTCTGGATGTTTGCTGGGTTCTGATGGAGGGTTCTGCAGGGTTCGTTTCTCTTGAGGTCATTCTCCTCGCCTGAAGATGACCATCTTCTTCCCATGTCCCCACATAGTGTCCCAGTGGACCTGTCTCTGTCCAAATCTCCTTAAGGACTTTGGTCATACTGGATTAGGGCCCGTGCTAGTCCACTTGTTTGAATTTATGTCCCCCTTTAAAGGCCCTGTATGAGCTGGGTACTGGTGGCTCACACTTGTGATCCTAGCTACTCAGGAGGCTTGAGATCTGAGGATCACAGTTCAAAGCCAGCCAGAGAATGAAAGTCCATGAGACTCTTAACTCCACTGAACTACTAGAAAACCCAAAGTGGTGCTGTGGCTCAAAGTGGCAGACTAGCCTAGAGCAAAAGAGTTCAGAACAATGGCCCAGGCACCAAGTTTAAGCCCCACAACTGGAGTGGGGGTGGGAAGTGGAAAAAGGCTCTGTAAATCCAGTTACATTCTGAGGAACTGGGAATTAATCCTCCCCCAGAAGAATTTCAGGTGGAGTCAGGCCATAAGAAATAGCTTGGAGAGGAAGCACTCCACAGTGACGGTTCTGGGAGGAAGGTGAGGCAGCTACAGCTTTCCAGCTTTGGAATCACTGAACTGGGGCCAGTTGGGTTGTCTGTGGCTTTCCTGTGAAGTCTTTCTCCCGCTGCAGAGGAGCAGGAGAATGGAGAACGGAGGCTCTGGGCCTGTTCTTCCACTCTAAGCACTGTGTTCATATTAACAAATAATCACTAAGATCTGATTTTTGAAAATAGGTAATAAAGATTTCAAGATTTTTCCACTGCATGTCTGACCTCAGTTAGATGTTCCCACCAAACCCAAACCAGAAGAGAGCAGAGGTCAGAGGTCAGAAGCCAGAGGCAGGCTCTGCCCTCCTTGGTCTTCAGCCTCTTGGCTCAGCAGGCCTCCTTTACCCTAAAGGGTGTTTGCTCTTTTCCTCTCTCACCTGTATTGTGGGTTTTTGCATCCTTAGGGACCCCTCCCCTTTAGGGGAAGTTTCTCTGATTTACAAAAGTCCTGGCCCCCAGGTTCCCTCTGAGTCCTCCAAGACAAATTTTCTGAAGCAGATTTTAAAGCTTGCCACTCCCTCCGCTCCCTAACATCTTGGCTTCTGGCCACCAGCGCCAGCTCCGCTGAGACCAGGGCTCCTCACTGGTCTCCTTGGGCTTCGGTGACAGCACCCTGGCCTTTCTCAAGGCCACCTC